GATCTGATAGCTCTGGCCGACGTCAGGAGCACAAGAAGGCCGTTCAGCTTGGTTCCCTTGGGACCGAGGCTCAAAGCATGGTTGATGCCGTCACGAGTAGAGCGGCCGGTAAACTCAACGGCCTGGAGGTACGTCTCGTCCTTGATGCCCTTGGTCTCGAGCGAGGCAAGGAAGCCGTCCTGGCCAGAGTAGAAGCCCGGGTTACCAAGGGGCCAGGGATTCCCACCCTCGGACCCGTCGTTGTCATAGTTGTACTGAACAATATCCTCGAGGGAGCGAATGTTCGTGTTCTCGAGTTCAGACAAATATGTCTTAATGTTGTTGTAAAAATCGACCTTCACGACGGTGTACTCGGACTCATTGGGGAAGCCGCGGAAGGAACCGTAGTCCCAGTCCCAACCGTGCGGGCTGACAATGGTCTCGTAGTCGAGAATTTCCGTGTTGTTGACGATTTTAGCGCCGGCATCCCTGAGGCTGCAGATCAAGCTGTTGAGGACGCGTTTCTGGGCGTCGTCCGCATAGACCCAGAAGCTCTTCCAGGGAATGCCGAAGACGGCGCCCTTGAGGCTCGCCTTGGTCGTCAGGAACTGAGTGTAACCACCCTCGGGCGTGTGGCCGTCCTGAGCGAGACTGTACTCGTCACGGGGGTCAATGCCCCAGATGGCATCAAAAGCATAGACAGCATCACGAACGGTGCGCCCGAAGGTGCCGACGGAGTCCTGGTGCTCGCTCTCGGGAATGACGCTAGACTCTGTTTAGCAGCGAACTGCGCGAATCAAGAAGCGAACATACCCAGCCCTGGAGGTGAGCCCGACAGTGGGCTTGAAGCCAACAAGAGAGTTGCGCATGGCGGGGTTGATGACTGGTCGACCTGTCATCAGCTTTGCGTCTCATTTCAGCTGGAGGCCGGATGCGTCTCTGATTCCAAGACATGACCAGGAGGACCACAGAACAAAAAGGACTCACCACTGCCATCGGTCTCAGTGCCAAGAGAGAAGGCGATGGCGTTCGAGCCAACCCCCACAGCGCTGCCCGAGCTGCTGCCGCCGGGGTTGACAGTCAGGTTGTAGGCGCTGCGAACCTGGCCACCGCGAGCTGAATAACCCTCGGAGTAGTTGTTGCTGCGCATGTCAGCCC